GGGGGGGGGAGGGTGCCTGGTCACATGCTCACAGCAATGGCACAGGCTTTGCACCCACACACAGGCATGGGGAGCCTTGTGCCTGTGAGCCCTGAAGCTGCTCTGTAGCTTGTGCAGTGCCCAGGGCCCCTGACCTGCATGGTCAACAGCCCTGCCCACATGGGATGAATTTGTGGAGATGTGAGTTGCAGGAAGTGGTGGCCAGACCAGCCCCTTGCTGAGTTGGCTTCTCCTGGCTGTGGGTTATTGGGGCTGGGAATGGGACTACTGTCTCCACTCTGGTTTCAGTCAAGGTGCCAATGGCAGGCAGTCCTCTTCAGTGGAAATGTCACAGAGTAGGGCCAAGCTTCCTGCAGCCTCTGTCAGGACAGGGAATCTGAGCACCTCTGCTCTGCTCCTGTGAACTGTGGGCCCGAGATTATTGCTTCTCTTGAAGCTTCCTCATATTCAGCTGGACTCAGGTAGCAGTCCCAGCCTGGCCTGCTCTCAAGACCCTCAGGAAGGTGGACAGAGAGGTGGGCAGGAGGCCCGGCCCCAGCCCTGCATGCCCCAAGCCTTGCCCTCCCTTTGGTGTCAGTATGTGTGTTGATGTGTGCCGGCAGGATCACCTGTCTCCCCAACCCCACCCCCCCACCCCCATCTGTGTCAGGCAGGTGGCACACTCTAAAGGCACCTCCTTCCTGGGCCGTGCACTTGGTCCTGGCCAAGGAGGCACCAGTGGCCTTGCTGGCTGCTCGGGCCAGTACCTAGGCTGCTACACCCTCAGCAGGGTCTCTCCAGGCTCCGTGCTGCTGTGCTGAGAGCACAGCCTCAAGGTCACTGCCACCTCCAAGGACTAAGCCCAAGGCCACTGCTCTGGCCTCCCTTGGGTGTGGACTGTCCCTCTGCCTCCCCAGCCTCCGGCTTCCCTGGGCCTCTGTTCCATCTTTCACAGCATCCCCTCCTCCTTGTCCCCACAGGAGGCCCCGGGCACTGCATCTCCCTCCCGCAGCCCCAGCGGGCTGTGCCCTGGCTCTAAGGCCTCCCGTGTGCTCATGACTCCACAGTTATTTTTACATCTCCAGGCGCCTGTGTCCAGCTGCCTGTATGCATCGTCGCGCCCAGTCTAACGGGCTTCTCAGCCTCATGTTTCCCAGAAACACCCCATCTTAGCCCCCACCTCAGAGTCTCCTCCCTAGCCATCCCACTCCCACCCGAATCTGAGGAGTCTGATTCTCTGCTTGGAAGCAGAGAATCTCACCCACCAAGCAGTCCGGTGGCCCCCAGCAGGGAGGGCTGGCCCAGAGCAGGTGTCTAGTGCCATCTGGGCTAGGTCACCTACTGTGGAGACCATAGCCTCAGCCTTTCCTCAGCTCCAGCCAGCCTCGGGCATCATACACCCCCCGGACAGCCACAGCATCTCTGAGGCTGCTGCCCAGGTCCATACTTCACACAGCGGCCAAGGTGGGCTTTGAGCAAAGCCTGGCCAGCCGTCTCTGCTCATAGCCCTTTTGAGTTCCCTGGTACCTTGGAGCAGAGCTCTCTGCCTTGATCTCTAGCCCACCAGACCAGCCTGCCTTCTCCCCTCCTCCTTGTGCCAGCCTGGACCTCTGAGTCCCTGAAGAGGCCATGTTGCCCTGCCTGTGGGATTTTGCACTGGCTGTTCTCTCTGACACAGTGCTGTTCCCTGTGGGGCTGCTGGGCAGGGGTCAGTTCCCTCCTGGAAGAGTGTGACCCCCACACATGTGTAGTCCCTGCCCAGCCACTGTCATCAGGCCACTTGTTCTGGTCCTCTGTAGAGCATTGTCCTTGTCTTGGGCTTATCTGTATGTCAGATCATCCCTATTCTTGGGATTGGCTCCACAGGGGCCTGGCTTTGTCCCCAGGGTCCTGGGGTGCTCAGAGTCTACACACACTAGGCATTTCTTGTTCACACTAGAACAAGCTTGGGCTCATCACAGGGGACACCAGGTTCAGCTGGGACAGAGTCAGAGAAGGTGAGAGGGCTCTAAGTGGCCTAGCAGAGTCTTTTAGTGCCCTCAAAGGGCTGGCAGGACTCGCCCTGATGTGGTGGCCTCTGCCTGTCAGGCCTTTGCCTTTCCCATCTCAAGGCACATCCCCATGCCTGGCCCTAAGGTCCACCAGCCCCGCCTACCTCTGGCTGCAGGACTGCGGTTTGCTGTCTGGCTCTGCATCCTCTGAGTATTTAAAGATGGCCCTGAACAGGGCCCACACCAACACCCCCGGGCTGGGCTGTGGGCCCTGCACCCAGCACGCTGGGCTCACTGGGGCAGGACGCGTGCCCAGGCTGGGCTCTGTCGGCCTTGCGTCCTTGTCTATCCTCAGATGGAGAGCAGAGGCTCAGTGAGGATGGGTCCCCAGACACGGAAAGCCGGGTAGACGTGGGGCTTGAGCCAAGATTAGCCTGGCCCCACCTGCATACAGCTCCCCCTGCATATGGCTCCCCAGGCCTCCCTCTGCATATGGCTGTGGCAGTGAGTGCAAGGGTGTGTGCGTGCATGTAAGAATGTGCAGGTACGTGGGCTCACACGTGTGATGACTGTGTGGTGTGGGTGTGAGTGGATGAATGTGCGTGTGTGTGTCCATGGCTATCTCTAACAGCCCACAGACTGGGTGTTTAAACCACAGACATTTCTCTCTCAGTTCTAGAGTCTGTGAGCCTAAGACAGGCGACCGGGGCCTGCCAGGGGCCCCCACTCCTTGGTTCACAGTTGGCTGTGTGTCCTTACCTGGTGGCCAGGCCCTCTGGGGCCTCTTTTATAAAGGCAGGACGCCCATTTGTGAGGTGTCACCCCCATGACACGGTCACCTCCCAGAGGCCCTACCTCCTAACACCATCACTTTGAGGGCGAGGGCTTCCCCCTCTGAATCTGGGGGACGCACTCGGCCCTAACAGTGAGTGTGAGTAAGAGTGTCCTCGAGAGCTGGCTTGCACACATCGGCCTCCCTGCCTGGATTGCATCTCATGGCACTTTCTGCCTGTAAGGACCCCCCAGCTCCCCTTAGTGACTCCATCTCCCACCTATGGAGGCAGGGTCTTCCACCAGCGGCCCAGGAGTTCCCTGTTCATGGAGGTGACCCAGCATACATGGTGCCACCTCAGTTGCTGGGCAGGAGACTCCCTCAAGTGACTAGGACCTCGGCAGGAGGCAGCCAGCCAGTGGGTGCCAGCTCCTGCAGCCTTCTCTCTGGGTCCCCAGGCTCTGCACCACTGCTCCTGATTCTGCAGAGTCTCAGGCCCCACTTGGAGGTCTCATCCCTCTGCCTGTTTCCAAGACAGCTCTGCTTGGCCCAATGGACTTTAAAAATAGGGCTAATGCCAGGTGAGATGACTCATACCTGTAATCCTAGCACTCTCGGAGGCCAAGGCAGGTGGATCACTTGAGCTCAGGAGTTTAAAGACAAACCTGAGCAAGAGCAAGACCCTGTCTCTACTAAAAATACAAAAATTAGCCAGGCATTGTGGTGGGTACCTATAGTCCCAGCTACTTGGGAGGCTGAGGCAGGAGTATGGCTTGAGCCCAGGAGTCTGAGGTTGCTACGAGCCATGATGATACCACAGCACTCTGCCCAGGGTGGCAGGGTGAGACTCTGTCTCAAAAGTTAAAATAAAATAGAAAGTAAAACGCAGGTCCAATGTATCTCCAGAGTGTTCTGGAGAAGGCGAAGGGCAAGGGGCCTGCCAGGCGGGGGGTGGGAATGAACCACCGCATTAGGGACTGAGAAAGACAGAAATTTATCCCCTCAGTTCTGAAGGTCAGAGGTCTGAGATCACGGGGTTAGTGGAGCTGTGCTCTTCCCAAGTTCTCTCAGGGAAGCTGCATAGAAACTGCCCCCAAGGAGGGGGTGGGGGCCCTTTCTAGAAGTCTGGGGAGCATCTCAGCAGGGGGCAGGACCAGGAGCTGGCATCTGGTCCAGGGGAGGATGGATGTGAAGGCCTTTTGTTAGTCAGGAGCGAGATGGGGTTACCTGGCCCTTGGGTGACACTTGGGGAGAGACAATGGTGCCCAGGGCAGAGCTGAGGCCCACACGATCAGCTTCAGGGGAAGCAGCTAGGGCTGGTTGGTGGCAGAGGCAGAAACCATCTTTGTGGCGTGGCCGAGGCACCACACCAGGGAGCCAGTCCACAGGAAGAGAAGGTCCCTGTGTGGGGTCCTGGGTGATCAGCTGAAGCCCGTGAGGGAAAGGTTGAGAGGTATGTGCCCCTCGTAGAGCACCACTTGAGAGTCCTGCATAGCCCCGTCCCTTCTGTGCGGTGGGATCCAGGGAAGCCAAGGCCCCAGTGCCAGCAGGTGCATGGCAGATGTGTGACGTGTGGGGCCTCCACGTGCCTTTCTGCGTGGTGTTCACAGCTTCACCACAGGTGGTGTTTCCACTGTCCCCATGACACAGGTGAGGAAACTGAAGCCAAGAGCTCCAGGGGCCCCTCCAGCCAGAGGGGCAGGGCAGAGCTTCCCTCCAGGCCTCACCCCGTGGGAGGACTCTCAGTGTGGCTGGGGTGTAGTGTGGGCCACATGGCATGCGATCATCCTCAGTGGATATTTCTGCTGCTCTCCACTTGGAAGTGGAAGCGGCCCGGGCCCACCCCTGCAACTATCCCGTGGCACATCTCAGCCATGGAGGGCTGAGGACTTAGGTGCCAGGCAGAGTCTGGGGTGGCTGAGGGCTGTTCTCAGGCAAGAGAACCATAGTGGCTGCCTGGCCCGGAGGAGACTCTCCATTCTCAGGCCAGACCCTTATGTTTTCACTTCTTGGTTGCTCGGGTGACATTTTGGGGGAGACCTTTTCATTATGACGATTATGCTGACCTAATTCACCTCTCTGGACCAGGCCTCTCGCTTCCTGCTCTGGAGCTACCAGAAGGAGCCTTCTATGCTGACAGCCTCTTCCTAGCTGTTCTTGGGAGAGATTGTGCTGGGAACCCTTTGATGGGCAGATGCATTTCTGTGGGTTCTGAGCTTTTCTTCTCTCCAGTTGGGAGTGCCTTAGCTATTTTCTAGTTATAAATGTTTCAGACACTAGAGATTCTCAAACAAGCAGTGACAGCCCCAGAGCCCCATCCACAGGCCCTCTGGGTGAATAAAGCTTTATTAGCACTACCGCCCATGGGTTCATGAGGGCAGCAGCACAAAATAGTCCAGACAGAGACCTGTGGCCCCAAACTGTCTGCTGCTTCCTCAGGGAGGAAGCTGCCCAAGGCTGGCCTGATGGCATGCAGCTCCCCTGGTTCCCATGGGCTGTGACTCCGTGGTCCGGTGGGCTGGCCTGACTCTGTTCTGGATCCCACAAGGAAAATCAGTGTCTGAGTCAAGTTCTTCTGGGATTGAGTCCTCACTTGGGCTTGCTGGGTGGTCTGAGGAGCAGTGTGTCCTGCAGCCCTCCCCAGGCAGTCTCCCCATCCTCCCCTGCACAACCTTTGGTTTGGTTTCTGGAGCTTCCTGCAGGATCTGGGGCTGACTCACACATAAACACATGTAGCTGTCTGTGTTAGGCCCCAAACCTGCGCTCTCACCAAAGACTGGTCATCCTGGGCCCTGCTGTGGGGCCTTGGGAAGAGAGAACACCTGTTTGTGAGTCCTAGACCCATGCCGGAGGGCCAGGACTCTCCCTGTGTCACCCTGCCGGTCCTCTCGGAGAGCGGAGCTGCCCTGCACCATTGGGAGGTGTGTGTCCATGCACACCCCCTAGTGTGTCCGCATGGGTTCCAGGCCTGGGGCAGGTGGGTCGTCTCAGGGGCAGAGTCAGGTGGGCACAGCATGGAGCATCCTGGGCCACTTCTGCTCTCCTGGCCTGTGGCAGGGTAGGAGATCGAGCCACCTTGTACAGGAGGAAAGGAAGATGAGGGCTTGAGCGGCTGGCTCAGGGTCATGCCTTCAGCCTTGGTCTCTTTTTGGCTGAGCCACAGTCTTGGGGCAGGCGTTGGGGTCGGGGCCTCAGGCTGGTGGGAGGGCTGCCCTGCGCCCTGACGTGGCCTTGCCCCTGCAGACTGCCTGCTCATGCTGGCCTACAAAGACAAGTCGGAGCGCGCCAAGGGCCTCCGGGAACGCAGCAGCCTGACCCTGGAGGACATCTGTGGCCTAGAGCCAGGTCTGCCCTACGAGGGCCTGCCCCACACGCTGGCCATCGTCTGCCTGTCCCAAGCCGTCATGCTGGGCTTTGACAGCCGAGAGGTCATGTGCGCCTGGGATGCCCGGATCCGATACGCACTGGGTGAGGGTAAGTGACCAGGGCAGGGGTCCCAGGTGAGGCACTCCCTCCCACAGGGCCACGGGGGCCCCAGGGATGTGGGGGGACATCAGTGGGTCTTCAAACATTTACTGAGCTCCACACTCAGGTTGAGCAAGGGGTGCTCAGAAGAGATTTGGGGCCAGGGAGCCCACATGACCTCCAGAGTTAGAGTCAGAGCCTTCAGCCCAAGGAGGTGCCTTCTAACGGGGGTGCTCTCCTGAGCCCCGTCCTTTGCCTTCCACACTGGATGCCGAGCCCAGAGCCAAGGTGCCGGGAGGGGAGAGCTGCGCAGCTTCCTGGCAGTGGACAGCAGGGTGTGGGGAAGCAGCTCCCCACCCCTATCCACCAGGGTCAGCAGCAGAAAGACTATAATGCCACATTTTCTAAAACATCAAAATCAATGCAGAAAACCCATGATGAGTGAAATGCCAGTTTTTTTTTTTTTTGAGACAGGGTCTCAAGCTGTCACCCTCGGTAGAGTGCTGTAACATCACAGCTCACAGCAACCTTAAACTCTTGGGCTTAAGCAATTCTCTTGCCTCAGCCTCCCAAGTAGCTGGGACTATAGGTGCCTGCCACAACGCCCAGCCATTTTTTGGTTGTAGTTGTCATTATTGTTTGGCAGGCCCGGGCTGGGTTTGAACCCACCCGCTCCAGTTTATGTGGCTGGTGCTCTGGCTGCTGAGCTACAGGCGCTGAGCCCAAAATATCAGTTTTAAATAGAGTCGGGCTCTGGCCTGCACTTTACTTCCCCTCACCCCTCACCTGATCGGAACCCCAGCAACCTGACACCCCACCCCACCCCCCGTCTTTAAAGACTTGATATTTTGTTCCTCACGGAGTTTGAATTATAAAATATGTATCCCTAGCCTTGATGGCTGTGGGCTCCGGGAGCAGCCCTTCCTCCATTCCCTGGAGACAGAAGCCAGTGCTTGGTCCAGGGGTGATGTGGACTGTGTAGCCAGAAGGCACAGGGGAAAGTACCTTCAGAACAGAGAGTCATGCCTTTCCAGAAAGTTCTGCAGCTGAGATTCCTGTCGGCCCAGCCTGGCTCATGGGTCCCTTTTTATAATCCAGCTGGAGCAGTTGTCACCACACAGAGCCAGCTGGGCACTGCCCTGGCATCTTTATCTTGCTAGAAATCATGGTGTGGTCTGACCAATCCTTGCAGGGACGTGCCCCAGGCTGCTGCTGGGAGCAGGATTGAGACCAGCGTCCCACTGGCTCTGTGGCTGGAGGTGAAGGGGGCAGTGTCACCCTCTGCTCACAGGCTGGGCTCCCTGGGTGTACACCTCCTCCTGAGGTTGGAGGAAAACTAGGGAGAGAGAAGGGAGAGGAGGGCATGGTCCATCCTTTCAGGGGCCTTCAAGGGCAAAGGGCCAAGTTGTGTCAGGGCCAGGGATCCTGGACAGTGCCCAGCTACCCTATGTAGTCTTGGAGTCAGGGAGAACAGTGAATAGGCAAGGGAGGGCCCAGGGTTTCCTGAGTGTCCCCATGGCCAGGCTGGGGCTGTGATGCAGACCTTCTGCTCTCTTGGCCTGTGGCAGGGTAGGAGATCGAGCCATCTTGTACAGGAGGAAAGGAAGATGAGGGCTTGAGCGGCTGGCTCAGGG